CCTAATTTTTCATTTTCTCATATTCCATTCCCTTCTTTCCTTTCCCCTACCCCCCCACTTCCCCTTTGCCCCTTTTTTTCCTATTTCACATTATCTATTATACCTTTTAGTCCTTATTTACCCTTTCAGTTTCTCACACCTGAGACTATTCAGTATTTACACTTACTTTTTAATGGGAAATTTCTTTGGCTTTCTAAATTTTTCTATTCATATGAGAATACTTAATAATATCATTAAAAATGATGGTATATGTAAGTTATCCCAGTCTAGTTTCCTGGGTAGTGCAGTACAACCCTGGTTTTATGTTGACTCTTGCTATAGGACCTAAAATATATTCATGTGGAATTAAAGCCTCATATAACACAATCTTAGCAGCTATCTTTACCACAGTTTTCCCCAGAGCTCTCAGAGGAAGGCACACATGCAGGCTCTGGCTCACCCCTACTTCCTCTCTTCCTCCATGCAGTCCTCCTGCCCCTGCAGAGACTTTTCCACATTACTCAAGGCCTGGTGTCTCTCTCCTTCCTATTCAGAACATTTATTTATCTATGCCTCATGTATTTGACAACCAATGCTAGTTTGCTTTGTGTTAGCTTGTATTATGTTTGCAACTTTTCATACAGTTCTTTTTGTCTTAAACAGATTGGAAGTTCCTTTGGAGCCAGTCTTTTGTTTTTTGTTGTTCTTAACCCTTATTACAGTTCTCTGAGTACTATCACATGCTTTTGACAGAGCAGAGTTAAAGGCGAACAAGACATTGAGAAATGTTTAGTTATGAAGGATTACCACTCTATGTGTAGCAATAAAATTTTCTTGCAATTTTAGGAAGCCAAAGAGGAGCCCAAAACCATAAAAGAACATAGAAAAGAATGTGCCGCAGGAGGTAAGAGATGTTTTCTTTCCACCTCACTTGAATTTTTGCTCCCTGGTGATATTTTCTAGGCATGATTTTCTTGAATAAAGCTATGTTGCCTGCAGAATCTGGAAACTTTGTTGGATTCAGTCTTGATTCCACTTGTATTATTTTCAGAAATCACACTAACACTACATGAACTCTTTGGTCCTGGATGACTTGTGATAACAACTAGTGCTCCATTGTGAGCTCAGAACCAAGTCAATGTTGGTAGTAAATTTTATGCTCTACTTTTTTATTTCTTTTTCAGTATCCTATCTAAAAGTAAATGACCCAGGATTTACAAAATAAGAGCGGATATGCTTTTCTCCATAGCTTGTCTTTAAGATGGTAGAGTGGATAGAGTTTCATAGACTCTAGGGTGGGTCAATCTGTGATCAGCTGTGTGATCTTAGAAAATTATATAACCTGAGTTTGTTTTCTCATCTGTAAAATAGAAATGATGAATTAAAAATACATATACTATATTAAAAACTACTATATGCTGAGCACTAGGCTAAATTCTTTATGCACATAGTTTTATTCTAGTCTCAAAATACAAGGTGAAGTAACTTGTGACTCAATTTCCTACGTTGTGAAAGGTATAAAGTAACAGTATGTACACACAGAAGTATCTAAACCCAAGGTTTGCTCTGAGGATCGAATAACTTAGTACACATGAAACACGTAGGAGATTATGCAGACATTCTCATAAAAGTTAATTATGATATAAAAATAATATCCTTATCTTATAGATGGCTTAAGGAGGCTGTGTTTATTTGAAAATCACTTATCTATAAGAGTCAAAGCTCAGATTTAAGTCAAGTGTTGTCCAGCCAACATCTTACTAAATGGAGAGGGCTGAAAGCTTTTCCTCTAAAATCAGGAGCAAGACAAGAATGTCTGCTATCACCACCTCTGTTCAATATAGTTCTTGAAGCACTAGCCAGAGCAATTAGCCAAGAGAGATAAAAAGAAGTTAAATTATCATTATTTGCAGTTGACATGATCCTCTACATAGAAGATCCCAAAAACTCCTAGAATTATTAACCAAATTCCTTAGCTTACCAGGATACAAAGTCAGCACTCCTGTACACCAATAACAAACTCCAAGATGGAAATTAGGGAAACAGTACCTTTAACAATAGCATGAAGAAAAATGAAATACTTAAGAATTAATCTAATCAAGGAAGTAAAAGGACCTCTACAATGAAAACTACAGTATTCTGAAAAAAGGAGATGGAAGAGGATATTCAAAAATGGAAAGATATCCCCTGTTCCTAAATAGGCAGAACCAGTGTAATCAAAATGACATACTTCCAAAAAACTTAATGCAACCCCAATCAAAATATCAATGGCATTCCTCCCAACTAGAGAAAGCAATATTAAAATTCATGTAGAACCAGAAGAGGCCTAGAATAGCAAAAGCATTTCTGGGCAACAAGGGCAAGGCAGGAGGCATCACCATCCCAGACATCAAGTTATACTACAAAATTACAGTGATAAAAACAGTATGGTATTGGCAAAAAAACAGACTTGTGGATCAGGACAGAACAGGGAATGCAGAAACAATGCTAGACACACTCAGCTACCTTATCTTTGACAAAGGGGCCAAATCCTTTTGCCGGAGGAAAGATAGTTTCTAGCAAATAGTGCTGGGAAAACTGGTTAGCCACATAAATGAAGATTGAACCTAGACCTCTATCTCTCACCAGGCACTAAAATCAAAATGGTTCAAAGACCTAAATATTAAAAATAATTTGCTGGAAGACAAAATAGGTTAAACTCTTGAAGACACAGGTGTAGGCAGACTTTTGAACAAAATCTTGTTTGCACAAGAAATAGTACCAAGAATCAACAAATGGGACCACATCAAATTAAAAAGCTTCTGTACGGCAAAGGAAACAACCCACAGAGTGAAGAGACAAAGTGAAAAATGGATAAAAAATTTTCCAGCTACTCAAAAGACTAATATCTAGAATATACAAAGAACTCAAAAAAATTACCCCCCCCCCAATTTAAAGATCCAATCAAATAGTGGGCATCTGACCTCAAAAAACTAGGACTGGAAGTCCCATTTGACCCTGCTATTCCATTGCTGGGGATCTTCCCCAAAGAATTAAAAGAATCATACCACAGTGATATATGTGCACCCATGTTCATAGCAGCACAGTTTGTAATAGCTAAAACTTGGAAACAGCCCAAATGCCCATCAACTGGAGACTGGATAAAGAAAATGTGCTTTTTTATAAAATGGAGTACTACTCAGCCATAAAAAATGAGAAATTAGAGACATTTTTAGCTAAATGGATGCACATTGAGGCGATACTCTTTAGTGAAATAAATAGGACACACATGAATAAATACCTAATAGTTTCTCTGGTGTTAGAAACTGAAAGTGTAAATAAGGACTAAATGTATAATAGGTAATGTGAAATAGGAAGAAAAGGGGCAAAGGGGAAGGAAGTGGGAGGGCTAGGGGAAAGGATAGAAGGGAATGGGATTAATATGAGAAAATGGAAAATAGGTACAAAATCTTTGTAAATAGGGAGGACTGGAGGGGTTGAAGGGAGGGCTGGGCAAGGGTGAAAAATAAGAACCAAGAGAGACTATGTAAAGGTGCAAATTTCCAACGATGAATGTCATTATATTGAATACTTAAAATGTACCAATGATTAGAATGAATAATTGATAATGCAAAATAGGAAGAAAAGGTCCAAAGGGGTAGGGGTAGTGGGAGGGGCAGGGGAAAGGAAAGAAGGGAAAGGAAAAATGCTGAGAAATGGAAAAAATGGAAATAAAGTCTTTGTAAATAGGGAAGGGTGGAGGGCGTGAAGGGAGGGCTAGGAATGGGGAAAAAATAAGAACCAAGATGCATTATGTAAAGGTACAATTCCCAATGAGAAATGTAATTGTGTTGTACACCTACAATGTACCAATAAAAGAATTTAATAAAAAAAAATAGTGGGCATCTGAAATGAATACACTTCTCAGTTGAAGAAGTACAAACGGCCAATAAATACTTGAAAAAATGTTCAGCACCATTGGTCATTTGAGAAATGCAAATTGAAACAACTCTGAGATTCCATGCCACTTCTAAAAGAATGGCCATCATCAAGAAATCAAACAATAACAAATGCTGGAGAGGCTGAGTTGGAAAACGGAACCATTCTTCACTGTTGATGGGAATGTAAACTGATACAACAACTATGGAAATCAATATGGATATTCCTCAAAAAAAAAAAAAAAAACAAAGCAAAACTAAGACTAAAAATTTCACTGGACCCAGCTATTCCCCTTGTAGGTATCTTCCTGAAAGGGTTAAAGTCATCGTATTATAGTGATACATGCATACCATGTTTATAGCAGCACAACTCCTAATAGCTAAATCTTGGAAGCAATCTATATATCCATCAACAGATGAATAAAGAAAATAATGGCATTTATATGCAATGGAGTACTACTCTCCCCTAAAGATGCATAAATGAGTCATTTATAGGAAAATAGTTGAGTCCATAACATTAAGTGCAATAAATCATACATGAGCTTAAATATTGCATGGTTTCTCTTATATGGGAAACCCGTTATAAAGAACAAAATAAAAATATGATAGAAGGCATGGAGATAGAGCTTTCTCAAATGGGAAGAGGATCAAGAAATGGAGAGAAGGAGAGGAGGGAAGGTTGATGAGAAAAGGGATTAAGATGTGCTATGTACATGTACTAGCTCCACACAGGGATTGTAAACACATATACTGCAAACATGTACTAATAAAATAAAGCCTGCTTAGAATAAATCTTTCTGTGCAGCTTCTTACATTGTTCCTTCTCTCTGCTTCCAGAATAGCTTCTCTGTCTGGATTAGAACAGACAGAGTGTATGGGTATGTATCAGCCTAGCTAGAGAGCAAAGTGATATATCCTGTGTATCTTTAATAGCCTCAAATTCCCCCAGAGCTTCTTGGATTTTACCTTCCATTAATACACCCTAGGCCTCATGGAACCTGCAGACTGGGTCCCTGCCATACCTCTCTTTCCTCCTCTCGCCATGTGTAAAACGAGATGGAAACCTCTCTCTTGACAGTAGTAAGGAATCACCGTGGTTTCAGAGTTAGTGCTCACTAGGGTCTGATGTAGACGGGCGCAAGAGATCTGGCTGCATCTGGAGAGCCAAGAGCCTGGATCCCACTGCAAGGTCCTGCGCAAGGCAGCTCCGGAGGCCAAAGAATCCGCGATGGACGGTGGTGGATCAGCGCCAAAGGCCAGCAGACACGCTTAAGGCGAGGGCAAGGACCAGAGCTGAAGCTTCGTTTGGGGGAAATCAGCATAAAATCCTCCCGTCTTTTATACCGTTCCTCAGAGCCACGCTAACACAACTGACTCGGCTGCTCCTGCTCAAGCTGCCCATTAATTAAGCACCACATGGCTCTGGTCCATGGTCCCTGGGCATTACTGCTTTCCGGGTCCTGAATGATGTGGAGGAACATCATGGTCGCTCATCTCACGGTAGACAGGAAGCAGAGGATGTTAAGCCTTTTTAACCAATATTTTACTGTCTTTTAATAGAGACTGAGGTTTCCTCTCCTCCGGTAGCCACTGGGAAATCGCTTAACTTTAGACAAAGTGACAAGTAAGCTCCTTTTCATGTTGCAACTTAACATGTTCTATTTTTCTGTTGAATTACATTTAATTAAATTCTTTGCTTTATCCTTCAGCACTTCTGCTAATGAGAAGGAGGTGGAGGTGAGTTGAAAGCAAATGTTTTTTCTTTAAAAAAAAAAAAGTGTTTCAGACTCACCTGCTACAGTCTCTTCACACTTTTGCACACATATTCATACGTTTGCTGTTTGGCTGGGCAGTGACTAAGTGCAGGTAAAGCCCGTGTATTTCAGCCCTGTGTGTCTGGGAGGAGAAAGCAATGTCACAGTCTAATCCTGTGTTGCACTGAAATATCTGGTCACATCCAATTCTCTCTCCCTGCCCTCACATTATTTTGACAACAGGCAGAATTTCTCAGATTATCTTTGGGGTTTAAGTGTGACTGGTTTACATTGGAGAGAAGAGTGAAGCTTGAAGAGAGGTCCCGTGACTTGGCTGAAGAAAATTTGAAGAAAGAAATCACCAACTGTTTAAAGCTCTTAGAGGTGAGGATCAGAACATTCTGAAATTATACATTTGGCTGTGTTTTTAATGATGTTTTGATAGCTACATATTGGTTTATTTCAGTGACTGAAGTCAAAATGCCAGTCACTAAGCTCTGCCTGACCCAATTGTGAATTAATAAAAAATGATTCAGGATCAGGCTAAAAGTTTCATTAATAGGAAGTATCAGAAATAAAACAACAAAATGTCTCTTAAAGTAGGTCTCATGTGTGCCCTGTTTTCTTTCTGGATTTTCAAATAGATTTCAGGAAGAGCAGTCATGCAGAATACTGAGTCATAGGAGATATTATATATCAGTTTTGAGTTTTGTGAAAAAGAATCAAGAGTCTATTTCCATTTATGGTTAACTGGAAAAAATAATGGTGACTAGTGTCAGTCTTATCAGATGACATTCAACCCCACCGTAAAGTACTGAGAAAAGGAGTGTCCATGGAAGAGTAACAACTATTGCCCTTCATCCTATGAAGTTAATATGTGCTTAGAGATAGGTTTGGAAATAGCTTAATTTTAGAGGAAGAAGATAAAAATTAGGAAACCATTCATATTAAAATTTAGCATCTTTTAATTTTCCCCCATACCCTAGCTCCTGGTAACCGCCTTTCTACTTTTTATTTCTATGTATTTGACTGCTTTAGATATCTCCTATAAGTATCTTTAAGCCATATGGTATTTGTCTTTCTGTAACAGGTTTATTTCACTTAGCATAATGTCTTCAGGACTTGTCCATGCTATAGCATGTGACAGTGCTGCCTTCCTTTTAAAGGCTGAATAACATTCTATTGCATGTATAAGTATATGTACATACATCCATATATATGCAGCATTTTGCTTTTCTATTCATTCACTAATGGATATATGGGTTGCTCTTATTTCCTGGCTATTGTGAATAGTGCTGCTATGAATATGAGTGTACAAATGTCTGTTTCAGTATGAATGTGAGTATACAAATGTCTCTTTCAGATTCTGCTTTTATTTCTTTTTGGTATATATCCAGAAGTCAAATTTCTGGATCATATGGTAATTCTATTTTTAATTTTTTGAGATGCCACTGTCATACTCCCCATAGCAGCTGGACCATTTTACATTGCCACAAACAGAGCTTCCAATTTCTCCAACTCCTCACCAGCACTATCATTTTCTGTTTATTTCTGTAATTGCCATCCTTATGGGTTTGTGATTTTGATTTGAATCTCTATTCTTATTGCCCAGTTGTATATCATCTTTGGAAAAAGGTTACTCAAGTCCTTTGTCCATTTTGAAATCAAGTTAAATTTTTTTCTGTTGATGTAGGAGTTCTTGATATATTTTCAATATAAATCACTTTTCAGCTATATGAGTTAAAAATATTTTCTCCTTTTTCATAGGTTGTCCTTCACTCGGGTGATTGGGTCCTTTGATGTAAAAACACTTTTAAATTTGATATGGCCCCATTTGCTTAAATCCAAGAAGTCATTGGCAAATTCAGAGTCAGGAAGATTTTCTTTTGTTTTCTTCCAGGAATTTTCTAGTTTGGGTCTTACGTTTCAGTCGTTAATTCATTTGAGTGAATTTTTGCGTGTGTATAAGATAAGGGTTCAGTTCCATACTTTGTCAGTCTTCCCAACACTACTTGCTTAAGAGATGGTCCTTTCCTCATTGTACATTCTTGGCACCCTTGTTGAAAGCTCATTTGATTGTATACATGAGGGCTTACTTTGGGACTTATTCTAATCTACTAGTCTTATATATCTTTGGGTGGGGGCAAAGTACTAAGGATCGAATCCAGCGCCTTTACTCTGTGCTACATCCCCGGCCCCCTCCCCCTTTTTTATTCTGAGACAGGGTCTTGCTCAGTCACTAAATTGGTCAGGTTGGGCTCAAACTTGAGACCCTGCTGCCTCAGCCTCCCAGAGTGCTGGGATTACAAGCGTGTGCCATTATGCCTAGCTCATGCTTTTTTTTTTTAGCCTAAAAAAGTAATAAATTTCACTACAAAAGAGCTTCATGGGTTAAGTAAAATATCAAGTTATGTGCTTTGACTTAAGTGATTTTTGTTGTTACTGTTGTTGTTTTTCAGTATTAGGAACTGAATTTAGGTCCTTCCCATTGAGCTGTGCCCCCACCCAATTTTTATTTTTTATTTTGTGACAGGGTCTTACCAAATCACTACATTGCCCAGGCTGGGCTTGAATTTGCAATCTTTCTGCCTTAGCCTCCCTGAATGTTGGGATCACAGGAGTGTGCCATCATGCCTAGCTTTATGTCACTTTTTATGCCAGAGTTTTAGAAGGATTGGCATTATTTCTTTTTTCAATGTTTGGTAGAATTCCCTAGTGAAATCCCTAGGTTTTTCCTTGTTGGAAGGTTTTGAATTACAGATTTTTTTTTGGTATTGGAGATCTAACTCAGGACCTTGGCGCTTGCAAGGCAGGCACGGTGCCACTGAGCTACATCCCCGGCCCTTGGATTACAGATTTGATGTCCTTACTAGTTATAGGTCTGTTCAGATTCCTTATTTCTTCATGCCTCAATCTTGATTAACCATATTGTTTTGCTATCAGCTAACATCTGCTCTTCCCCTCCTAACTGAAAGTGGTTATTTAAACTACTATAGAAAATTGCATTTTTGACAATTTCTATTCTTGTTGGTCAACAGTTCCCTGGCTGCAACTTATATATATCTGTCTGTTTCCAAAGTGGGTGTCATTCATTAAGTGCCTACTGCATGAAAAGCAGTTGGCTTCTATTACCTCTCATATTGCAGTATTTTTGGAAAGATAATGTCAGATTCCATTTAAAAGGTGAAGAAATCAGAGATTCATATGTTAACATTTCCAGGATTATAATGCAGTTTATAATCAATGATGCCTCCATTTTATTGTCACCATTTTTTCTTAATGATATACAAAATAATAGTGCCTCTTACAATTCATGGTGTTGTAGATTTGGACATATCTTAGACATTTGTTCACAATCACCCAGCTGTTGAGCAGTAGATTATTTGCTTCCCAATCTGCTACTCCTGTCTCTACTCTAGTGAGAAGGACAGCCTTTCAGCAGGAAGGGTATAACATCTGAGATAAAGGACACAGATTTCAGAGGAATTTGTTATTTGTTTGCTTTTGGAGACAGGGTCTCGTTATATAGCTCAGGCTAGCCTTGACCTCACAGCAATCCTTCTGCCTCTGTCTCCTAAGTGCTGAGATTACAGATGTGTGCCATCACACCTGGCAAGGGAGCAATAAAGGCCTGCAGACCAGCCAGCCCAATCCCATAATAAAACCAACAGAAGAGCTAGTAGTCAGAGCCAGTTTTCACTCTGGGATGTTTTGCTACTTTCCCCAGAATTCTAACCTATGCTCTTCATGTGGTACTTTCAAATCATTTATTATAAGCATAATCTCTTTACCATTAGCAATTAATGATAGCCCATCTTATTAGCCATAGAATTAAGACGTAAATGCACATGAGGGAAGAGAGTGGCATACTTGGGTAGTACAAAAAACAGGGATCAAGAAAAACTTAAAAGATTTTGTGAGCACCTGCATGCATCTGCATGCTAACCAACAGATATATTAATATTTGGTCACCATTCATTCTTGATTTTGGGTGCTTCTTTTCATTCATCCCCCAAGATAGCTGATACTAGACTACAATGTAGTAGAATCACTTGCTGAGTGCTTGTGTTGGAAGTGTTTTAACACTTTGCTCTCTGTGCAGTCTTTAACACCTCTGTGTGAAGAAGACAACCAGGCCCAGGAAATCATTAAGAAGCTGGAGAACAGTATAACGTTTCTTAGCCAGTGCACAACACGAGTGGCCAGTAGGGCTGAGATGCTGGGAGCCATCAATCAGGTAATTTGTCTCCACTTCTCTAATTAGAGTGAAATTACTCAAAAGATTTATGTTCCCTGAGATGTATTCCTAGGGAAAGGTTTGTAGGAATTTCTTCTGTGTTATGTAAGATGTACAAGTTTAATGGAGGCAACTGAAATATCCAAATGAAAAGGTGAAGAAAAATCTCTCATACTAATATTAGCCAGTGACCAACACCATAAAAATTTTGTTGTATATTCTTATACACATTCCCTTCATATGAAGTTATAAACTGCTTCTAAATAATATTATAATCTCTTTTTCATTCAATATATAGCATATATAACTTGTGATATAAACATGCACATATATCACCATTTGAGGGGCTCTATTGGTTGAATAGATATGACTCATTTAATCAATTATATTGGTTATCTCAGGATATTGTTAATATTTTGCTGTAATAAATCTGCAATAAATGTCCTTATAAATGTACACTTGATTTGTAGAGAGGTAGAATTTCAAAATTTATGGGCAAATCTGGGACTTGGCTTTTTAAAATCTATACTAAGCAGACTTATTAAAGTCTATTTTCTTAAGAGAGAGATACGTCATTTTTGGTGGTAGTTTTTGTTTATTTGTTAGACTTTAAAAATATCTTATTTCCTTTTAACCTCTTACTAAAGGATAATTTTCTTTGTTTTATTTGTATTAATGCTATATATGCATATAGATTTTTAAAAGCTAAGTCATTTTGTAAACCTTATTCAATTTCTCATGCTCTAGCAACAAACAGAAACTCTTTTGGTTTGTTTTATAACTGTATTCATATTTCTAAATAACATACTAATGGTGCCATTTAGTGATTTATTTTCAATTTTAATTGTTATCTGTTGCTTTTCCACCATGAAGATGAGCATGCAGTTCTTCGGTCACTCTCTGTTCCCTCACACAAATGTCATGGTCCCTCACCTTGTTGCTCTTCCCTCTTCTTTCCTGACCAAGCTTAAAACTCGAAGCTCAGGCTAAATGTTCTCTTCCTTGCATGATCTCTGCACGTGTTCACTTTCTTGTTTTGTTTCTAGTCACTGGGCAAATCTGCAACCTGCTTAAATCCAAATTGCCCACTTAAAAATGGTGAGTTTTATATTGTAAATTGTGTATCAGTATAAAAAAGAAAAATACACAGTGAATGGACTTTGCTAGTTCCCAAACCAAACTGCTTTTGAGACCATTTGGGAAATTTCAATATGAACTAGCATGTGATTTAAGCATTTTTGTTTAACCTTGTTAAATGTGAGCATGGTATATGGTTAAGGAAATGCATTTTCTCCTTTTAAAAATTCTTATTGGAGTATTTAAGAGTGAAAAAATATGTTATCACTTATATTTTTTAACAAATTCAAAAATGAGATGATGAAACTGATTATTTTTGGAGATTAAACTTATGGTGAAATATTATTAAAACTGGAGATGTGTGGATTTATTGCTTAGTTTTTGTCTGTTTGGAATTTAAAGTTACAAAAGTTGAACAAAAAAGTATTAGTGAATGAATAGTGTTAGATTGATAATTGTGTAAACATTTTTGTTTTGTTTTGTTTTGTTTTTGGTACCGGGGATTTAATTTGCGTCCTTGCACTTGCGCAGCAGGGGGCGAAACCACTGAGCTAAATCCGCGGCCCGTGTAAACATTTTTATGATCGTGTAAATTCTATTCCCAATAGTCCACTGAGATGACTTTCCTTCTTGACATAAAATTCACATCGATCATTTGAGTCAATCATTGTTCTTTGTTATGATTGTTTTCTGGTTCGTTTTCTATTTATTTGTCTCTAATTCGTTTTCAAAATCATCTAAAAAGTCCAGGTCTCTCAATATATTTAAACTCATCAATTTTGTCACTTTCTTCTTCCTTGAGATATTCCTTCCAGAGATTTTTGACCTGCTGCAATCTGGGTTTGTTGATCTTTAGGCTGCTGCAAAAGGCTTGCAAATGAAAATTTCTCTCATATCCCATTTGAGTTGAATCCCATTTCCCAGATTCTTTGTCTCCTTCTTGTTGGTTTATTATTTATTATTATTTGGTCTGGGTGGGAGGCAAACTTTGTGAGAAGTTGTATGAATGAAAATGTCTTTATTCTTCCATTTAATTGAGGATTCTATACCAGAGATAATTTCCTCTAGAATTTCCCTCACATTGTTTCATTTTCTTCTTAGGTCTGGTGTTGGGATCAAAGTATGATGCCATTCTAAGTTTCTGTTACCCTCCTTTGACTTTCCAAAAGCTTTTAGGACATCCTCTTTTCCTACTGCTCTCCCTTGGTGTGAGTTTATTTTTATCCACTGTTTTAGGCCTTGAGTGACCATTTTCAAGATAGCAAGTTATGTTAATGAAGAAATTTTCTTTAATTTCCTTTTCTACATTTTAGGTTTTCTCTGTAAGACCTCTATGGATCTGTATGGATCTTTTCTGAGCTACTCTTTGGTCATTTTGCTCTGGTTTCAGGGAGATTTCCTCAACTTTATCTTGCAAGTCTTCTTTGAGTTATTTTTGTCATCTTTTTAATTTCCAAAAGCTCTTAATACACTGAACATTCCTTTTAAACAATTTCTTATTTCATAGACACACTAATTATTTTTAACTCTCTGAAGTTATTGATGATTTCCTTGAAGTTTTAGGTTTTCTAAGACTTTTTCTTCCAGGGTACTTTTTTTCCCCTATGCTTTAAAAGATCTAGTTTCTTGCTGGAGGCTTCTCAATATCTTATGCTTTACCACAGAGCTTACTGGGGGCTGTGTGTGTGTTGAGAGGGAAAAGTTCTTGGTGACACTGAGCTTCACACAAGAGAGGATGTTTTATTGACCCCTGCTGTCAGTACTTATAGGACTTACATCTTAAAAATGTTAGATTCCCCAAGGGAGAATCTGCCAGCTGCCTGTCTTTAGAATATAACCCTGGCTGCTGGTGTTTAGGAGCTGGGAGGAACACAGATATCAGTACTTAAGTATAGGGACTTTTGCTTAAATCTGTTGTTTTCAGTAAGGTACATTTGCCATCAACTCTTTCCCAGTCCACAGAACCTCTGTTTACCTGTGTAGATAATCAAGTTGGTCTTTTACCACAATGATTGTGGAGAGGCACTGTGCTGGCCAGAGTGGGATGGGGAACTGTGGCTCTAATCACTTTTTACAGACTTTCGACCTTTCCTTGAGTTCACATACCCACCTTCATACTTCAGAGATGCCACTAACTCTTAAGCCTTTGAGGCCTTCTGTGATACTACCTAGATAGCTCCTAGGCTTTTTCTACCATGTGTTTTAGGGGCTCAGACTTCCCAGGACTCAGTCCTATTACTACCCACCCTTCCTAATTTTGCACTGTTATATCCTCTTCTGTCTTGTTTGTCCATGAAAAATTGTTTAAAAACACAACTTTTTATGACATTTTAAAGGATGGAATGAAGGTGAATGTGTTTAATCCCTTAGTGTTGGGAACAGTTCTGTCTGCCTGCCTGCCCTTTTCAGTCTCTCTCTCCCTCTCTCTCTCTCCCTCTCTCTCTCTCCCTCTCTCTCTCTCCCTC